TGGACAGAAACTGCAAATTTCGTTTTCTAATAGAAAATGAAAAATACAGTAATAAGGAAAAAAAGAGATTTTTGTAAATGTGTAAATCGTCCTCCTTGCGCCATTGGTAAATAGTGGAATGGACAGAAACTGTGAAAATTTCGTTTTCTAATAGAAAATAAAAAATATAATAATAAGGAAACAGAGAGATTTTTGTAAATCGTCCTTTTAACGTGTCTGATAAATAGGGAAAATTAAATTTTTTAATAGAAAATAAAAAATCATAGCAAAGAAAAAAGAGGAAAATTTTTAGAGTGTGAAAATGTAAGAAATGTGTGTGGAGACACTTTTGACACGAATAATGCAAATGATATGAATGCAGGAGTGAATCATGGCTGTTTATTATAAAGTGAAAATAAACCATAAATAAACCATGAATGATCACTGTAATGCGTGTGTATTGTATTCATTATTCGAGGATATTTTCCCACAAATGAAGCTTCACTCTGTAACAGAAGCGACTTCACTTGTTATCAGTTAACCACAAAACTCTATAATTTGTATATTTTTTCGTATTACACGCATTCTGTGCAATGTCGCACCTTTAAGTTTCCCATAAATGCATAAAAATCACTTCCACTGATACACTTCATTTCCAACCGTCAAACTTTTAACCCTTTGCACTCTGCTGGCGCCAGTATGGTGACATTCCTAATACACATCGTAACTTTATTCAAAACTCGTTAAAATAAAGTAAATTAACAGAAGAAATTAAAATAAACAATTTCATAAGAATTTCGAATTTTCCTTTCCAAAAGAAACTCCTCAATTTTCCAAAATTTCATTCACATTAAAATTAACTGCATCAACGGAAGAAACTAAAATAAACAATTTCATAAAAATTTCGAATTTTCATTTCCAAAGAAACTCTTCAGTTTTCCAAAGTTCCGCAGCAAAAGAGCCAAGTGAAAAAAAAAATGCTCGAAGCGTAAATTTCCATAACATCGAATTTTTCATCCGAGCCAGATGATTCGCAGTTAGCAAACGTATCGCGTAATAACCATTTTTCCCCACGGTGAAAAGTCTGCTCGACGACAAGAGCGAAGACAGGAGTGGAAAACCGCGGCGTAGCGTACAAGTCGAGAAACGAAAGTGCAGCGCAATAACAATAAAAAGGAGGAAAAGGAAGTGGAAGAAGAAGGGATCGGCGAGAGAGATCGAGCGAGAAGGGAGGTAGAGGAAAAGGTGGCGAGGGCCGCGGGAATAAAGAAGAGTCGAGGGAGGAGGCGTCATTCGCCTGGACGCATTGAGATGCAAATACGCGGGCGGTAGCTGGCGTGATTTACGAGAGACAGACGTGTCCATACGCGATCGGGACCAAGAGAACGTTTTCACCGACGCGTTCCAAGACGTTCGGGGGACAACCAGATAAGATCACCTCGAAACGGTCACAATGGACGAGGGATTTTGGCTGTTTCGCTCCGCTACTCGATTTCCCCCGTCGCTGGCTTCCTTCTAACATTTGACAATTTTTTTTTTGTGTTCTTCCTTTTTGTCGGGGTTTATTTAGGGTTGATTGAATTGTGTCGAATTTAATTGGAATTTGGGTACGTAGACTGGTGTTCGTAAGTGTTGGGACAAGTGAGTACAGGAAGTACAATATCATTTAAATTGCATGTTTTGGACAAATCTAGTAACAGATGTGAACAAAAATTATGGAGTTCTTATATTACGAGATTTAAAGCTGAATAATGTTTTCTGGATCGTAATTTTTTCGTGACGATAGTGATTGTAAGCGTCGATTAGTGTCGCATTAAGTATAATTTAGGTTTAATTCAGTTCCAATCGAGAAATTTTGTTCTGGCTATATTTCTTCCACCGACTATACTCCTTGCATTATCAGACTTTTGGATCGTAATTTTTTAGTGACGATAATGATTTTAAGCCTCGATTAGTGTCGCATTAAGTATGACTTACTTAGCTTTCATTCAGTTCCAATCGAAAAGTATTGTCCTCGCTATGTTTCTTCCACCGACTATACTCCTCGCATTAGATATAAGATTTCACACTGAATAATTTTTTTTTTTTTTTTGATAATTTTATAATGACTATTTAGGTTTGCTTTACGTTCAATAAAATGTGAAATGTGAAAATCAGGTGTACTTACAAATTTGTGAACTTAGTTAATACGTATGATAATTTTATTTATTTCACAATTTTTTAGAGGCAAAATTGCAGAAATATAATTTACATTCAACGCTACGAATTTTCAATAAGAATTTCGACAAAATTGGCTATACTGTACGTTCTAAAATGAAAATAAGAATTGCTCAATTCTGGAAAATTTCTCCGAAGGTAGAGCGGACGTTTAGTTTCACAGAATTCTCACATATGCAAACGGCCCCAGTCACAGTGAAACAAATTTATTACACCTTTCGCGTAAGTGGGCACGTAAAAAGGATCTAAGACCACCTGCAGGTGAAACAGGCTAGAACAGCAATAGAAATGCGAATGGTCCGTCTTAAGTGAATGAGATCAAGATTGTCGAACAAGATTTACGCAAGCAGTATCGCAAATCTTTTTGGTGTTGAGGTAATAAAGAACAGTAGCGGGGACATTACATCCCCACAAATGTCTTCCAAGTGTATGGTGCATTAGACTGATCTACACGTTAATTTCACTGACTTATTTCACCACTTTACGATCTTTTTAGTGGCTCTGTTATCTGTTTACTGCTTCACTGTCGTGACGAATAAGTGGATACTGAAATACTCCGTGTAATTTGTCTCTGGCAATCGTGAATGTTATAAATTGAAATCGAACAGAGAATTTCAAGTATGTAGACGTAGTTTTATACGATAAAAGGGAAGCATTCTTTATGCTTGTACTACAATTCATATCCTCGAATAGTGAGATAGAAAATTTTTTTAATTTCAAGCAACGAACACCAAAAATTAAACCAATTTTCCATGTTATACTTGAAGTACCATACTGTAAAGTAGCGAAATAAAAGAATTTTTTATTTCGAAGCAACGATAATAGAAAATTAACCCAATTTTCTAAGTTCCGAAAGATAAAAAGGAAGAATTCTTTATGCTTGAACTGTCATATTGTAAAGTAACAATATAAAAAAAATTTGTATTCCAAAGCAACGATCATAGAAAATTAACCCAATTTTTTAACTTCTAAAAGATAAAAAGGAAGAATTCTTCATACTTGAACGATCATGTTCTAAAGTAACAATGTAAACAAATTTTTTATTGCAAAGCAACGATCACAAAAAATTAACCCAATTTTCTAGCTTATACTTAAACTGCCATATTGTAAGTAGATACCAAAATAAAAACATTTTTTATTCCAAAGAAACCGTCGGTAGTCGCACGATTTTCCGCTCGCGAGACGCCTCGATCATGCTGCCAGAGAAAAAAAGAGAGAGAGAGAGAGAGAGACAGACCCAACTCTGTCCTTCAAGATCTCACGACAGAAAGATCGTAGGCGCCAAGTGTCACGCTATTTACCCCAAGCATCGACCATTCCCCGACGTCTCTACAAAACGTCCTCCCCGTGACATTCGAAAACGTCTCGAGGCACACGGAATCATGCGAAACGAGCTCGTCGTCGCGAGTGCAGCCTCGCGACTACCGTTCGCGGAGCGTATTGACGCGGATTGCAGGCGCAGGTTAAATCGAGCAGACGGTGGTGGCGTCGCGACGCCGGCTGCGCGCGGCCATCCAACCCTCTCTCTCTCTCTCTCAGATATCCACGCGATGTGTCGATGTATTCTGGTGGGGGTAAACAGCGAGAGGGAAAATTTATAAAGAGAGGATCGGTGGGGGTAGACTACTTGTTGCGCGTCGCGGCGCCCTCGTGACGCCAACATACCCCTTCGCTTTCTCAACTACTACTACTACTATCTCTAGTACTACTACCAGCATCGACGGTGGTGGTGGTTATGCTGGCGCAGCTAGTACGCCCCTTCGCTGGCGACGCCACCGACGACGACGTCGCTGCTACCGTGATGCCGCCCGACAAAAATAGACGTGTCGTCGCGACGCAACAGATATCATTCGGCCTCACCCGGTTCGCTCTTTCCCGTACGCTCGCGTGATCTTTCGCTGATTCGTCTTTATCATCGCGTTTTTCTTATTCCCTTTCTCTCGCTTCCTTTTACTTTCAGAGTTGCTACGTCTTTTCAGAGGATGATTACGACGAGAAAGTTCCTTCAACTTATGACTTCTTGCGGATCTTTTATTTGGGTAGGTGTTTTATTGGTGTTTTCACTGTATCGCGAGTTTGTTTTGGTTTGAGATACTGTGGAGGATCGCGAGTTGAAATGGCGAGTAAAATATTGAGTTGAATAGTTTGTAATTTAATTTCGGTGGAGGAATGGCTGTTTTCAGTGCTAGAGATGCTTATGGGGATTTCGATCGTTTAGTCGTACCGCACCGTTGGAGACTTTTTCTATAATCAATTTTGCGCTCTATACACTTCCGTTTTAATTTAATGAACCGAATTTTGAAACTATGTGACCGAAATAGCAAATCTTTTTAGGGGAGCATTGAGTTGGTGAATATCTTTTCTCGCTTAACCCTTTCATTGCTACAGAGATTTTGAAAATTTACTCGCGCTATACTGCTCGAGCCTTTTCCTACACTTCCACTTTGATATAACACTCAATTTAATCCTTCACGCTTTCTCACCTTAATTTAATAAACCAAATGACCAAAACAACAAATTTTGCAGTCGTATTTACAAATTTACAGTCTCCCACACGCGTTACGTATTAAAATCTGCCGCAGCGAAGCGAATAGTGAGAATTTCGTGGAAACTGAAGTGAAACATTTAAAAAAAATGGTTCCATTCAGAACGTTGATCGTTCAAATCCCACCATATATCCACCGAAATTCTCTATAACACCCAAAACTATCTCCAAAGTGATCTCTGAAATCTGGAGCAAATTAAACGCCAGAAATGAAACTGATCGAACAGAACAAACGAATAGCAGAATAATATCCACTGACCTGAATCTGATGTCCCGGATTGTTGATGTGTAGCTGCTGCGCCTGGTTAATTTGCAGAGTGGAGGTGCCTGGTCCCGAGGGAGGTCTCGGTGGCGTGGAGCTAGTGAAGGGTCCCTGTGAGCCGGTTTGATTGGGTCCACCACCCTGGGATCCTCTCGGTGGAAGTGGATAACCAGGGCTGCCGTGATTCGGCATTGATCCTGGACTACCGTAAGGCGAATACTGCTGCTTATATCCTCCACTTGGTCCAAGCATACTTGGTTTCCCACCGCTGGTCGGCTGTGGTCTCTTCATATCCGCCAGACCGGTGGCAAATTGAGTTTGCGACCCGACGAACATGTCGTTAGTCTGTTGCGCTTGGAATCCGGACGTACCGTTGTTCTTATGATACGATCCGGTGCCAGAAGTTGCCTGAGATTGTCCACCAGGTGGACCGTTGCTACCGGGACTGCCCAAATAGTCGGACGTGCCGCCGAACTGCGGGAACTCGGCGTAAGGTGAACGAGCGGTAGGTCCTCTAGCAGCTGCAGCCGCAGCGGCGCCAGGATTAAACCCGCCAAGACCAAGCTGTTGACTCTTGTGTTGATGCTGCTCGGCCATCTGCTTCAACGTCTGAGCAGCTGGGCTCATTTCGGACTTGAAGTCCAACCCGGAATACGTTAGTCTAGCTGGTGAATATTGAGCAGAGCCGAGAGCACCTGGACTCGAATTAGCGGGCACGTTCGCGTTACCATTGTTCGTGGCGGTACCGTTATTCACACTATTGCTATTCGCGTTCCCGTGCTGCTGGTGTATAGAGTCCTTGTCGTCCTCCATCTTGATCTGACCGTTGTTCGTCCCGATACTGTTGTTGTTGTTGTTGTTGTTGTTGTTGTTGGCGGCTGCTGCCGCGGCCGCGGCCACTGCCGCGTTGTTAGCCAGCGCGTCTACGGGGATCTTCTCCTCGAAGTCGAAGTCCTTCATGAACTCCGGATGGAAGTCGGAGATCTCGGAGATGAGATCCTTGAACGCGTCGGAGGTGATGATCTCGTCGCCTGTGTCGTCGCCCATGAAGTCGGAGAATCCAGGGAAACCTGCACCGTTCGCGGCGGCGTCTTTCTCCAGCGCCGCGGCGCATTGTTCGAGATCGACGAACTCGTTGTCCGGTTCTTGCTTGCACTCAACTAAGTTGCCTATGTCGACGCAACCGATTCCTCCGCCGCCGGTTGGACCACCGGTGCCCGCTCCGCCGTTCCCCGGTCCACCTCCACCGCCGTTTCCGGTCTGAGGCCTCGACGTGGCCGACGCTGGAGTGTCCGGGCCAGATTTCGGCGACGCTGACGCGTTCAGAAGGTCGCTCTTCACCGACGCGTTGGTCAGTGCTTTCACCGTCACGTTCGTGGAGATCTGCTGGGCCTGCGAGTTCGCCGCGGACGTGGTGAACTCTAGCTGCTGCACGATCTCCACGGAGAACTTGGTCAGTCCCTCTCCCCCCCCCCCCCCCGCCACCTCCACCGCCGCCATGCGTCGAACCGGTGGAGTTCGCGCCGTTTCCAGACGGATGCTGACCGTGACCGTGATGAGGCCCACCTCCGCCACCTCCACCGGGACCCTGCTGATGCTGATGCTGTGCCTGCGTGCATTGCAGCTTCACCGGGGGCTCGCCGAAGCCACCGTCTCCGCTACCACCGCCGGCTGGCTCCAACTCCTCGGCCGTCCTCTTCACGAATTTTTGCTGCTGAAACGAGATAGAGAAAATTTCGATTAGTTTGGTGTAGGATGGTGAGATGTTGATTGAAACGGTGGTCGTATCGCGAAGGTTGATTAGGGCAGTATTAAGGTTTAGGTTTGGCTGTGTACGAGGTGATTTATGCTGAAATGTCAATTCACCTAAAATTGAGTTAATACGTTTATTCAAAATGATGACAAAGAAGATGGCAACACTTTCAGAGGATCGCCACATTTTCAGATCACATACTGAAAAATGAAGTATTAACGATAATCAGACTTAGGATTCCTACGAATTTATGGAAAATTGAAAATTGAAAGCAAAGGAGCCACGAGAAGAAACCCAGAAATGACTTCTAAATCGCGCAGTACCTTCGAGTATTCTCATTAAAGGCAACTGACTACTCGAACTTACGCGAAAAGAACGAGTAGAACGGGGGAAAAAAAGAAAAAACGAAGGAAAAAAGCAGAGAGAAGCGGCTAACAGCGTTCTGTTCGTGGGTCAAGGCAAAACGCCGCGACGAGTGGTCTAAACTCTCCGGTTTTTCTTCGATCTGGAGTCTCGGGGCACAACCGGTAGCGCAGGATATTTAACTCACGGTGGCTGGATGCCTCGTTCTGTTCACCCGTTTCTTTAGCAATTAACCCGGCAATTTCTCACCGTACCTGTCAATACTGCGGACGCTTTTTGCCCCGTGTCCCGTCTTTGTGTGCGGAACGCCGCGTGTCCACCAACGACGAAGCAACGCTCCTGGCGAACCGATCAGCCTGTTTTATCGCGCTTTCGACTCTCGGTGTCCCCCCGCGTGCGGCATAAATCTTGGTACACGAATCGCGACTGACTCGCGGCACGTGAGTCTATGCGTCTCGATGCGGTTCGCTCGATCGAGATTAATGGACGTAGGAAAACTCGAGTCGAATTTAGATGATGTTTGAATGAGACTGCTGCGGCCGAATATTTTAAGGTTAATTTATCGAAGCGGAATCGTCCAGACGAACCAACTAAGTCGATTTTCATTGTGTCGTTCGCGTATCTGATTTGTGGTGTATTAATTTTGCGCGATCGAATATGATATATGATACAGTATCTCGTTTTGAATTATAGCAGAATTGACACTGGAATGAGGGACTTTCCAAAAGTTAGTTTTTACGTTAGTAAAAAGTGACTGAAAAATTAGGTTCACTTTTTTTTGGAAAATTGCTAATGGGTCATTTTGATATGGTTGATGGTTTTGGGGGTGAGAGAAGGAAGTTTATAGTAGATTTAACCCTGGAACGAGGGACTTTCCAAAAGTTAGTTTTTACGTTAGTAAAAAATTGCTAATGGGTCATTTTGATATGGTTGATGGTTTTAGGGGTGAGAGAAGGAAGTGTATAGTAGATTTAACACTGGAACGAGGGATTTTCCAAAAGTGACTTTTTATATAGGTAAAAAGTGACTGAAAAATTCGGTCCTTATCGACAGAGTTGGAAAGTTACAAATGATATTTGACATTATGGAACGTTCACTTTTTTTGGAAAATTGCTAATGGGTCCGTTTGACTTGGCTGATGGTTTTGGGGGTAAGAGAAGGAAGACGAGATAGGACAAGCAGAATTCTAGACACGAAGAGGCTAGACGGGTACGATCGACGTTTCTGCTTTATAAAAATAGTTGACTGCACTGTGGGACGGTGTTCCAGTAAGCACGACAATTAAGGAAATACTTCATTTCCGAGGTATAAGCGTTCTTAATTGCATACCGGAGGAAGTGTTCGAAGTGACCTTCTTAAGCGACACGCATATCATGACCCTGTCTCGTAAATTTCCTGTACACGTCCGAGGATTCCTCAGGTATTACAAGTCGTGCGACAATTATTCATAACGGCGAATGTGGCAAACATTTTTTTCAACTAATTTCTTTTGAAAATTAAAAGAAGAAGTATTGCAGTGTTTATGAGTGAAAGAAGTATTTGCAACTTCTGAACGATACTAAATTTCATATTTTTGCTTAGATTTTAATACCACAGGATTTAACAAGAGAAAATTGATCTTTACCGATGATAAATCGTTGAAATGCAACGCAGCGACATTGTAACGAAATAAACCAGTGGACGTCTACTGCAAAGATCATGCGAGTAGAATGAAAGTCAGGAAAAGAAAGCCTAGCTCGTAAATCTCGTCTTATACGCAAAACACTTGATATTAATTAATAGCGAAACGAGCTACACTGGGATCTGCAAAAAGTCCTCTACCAGTGAATAAGAATGTCAGCGTTATTAGTGAAAGAGATATAAAGCGAATCATAAATTCAAGTAGCAAGCAGCAGGTTTCTCCTGTGACGACACCTATGCAGACACAAGCATTCGGTATGTAATAATTCAATCTGCACGCGGGGGGTTATAACGTCGAAAATGAAAATTACAAATTATCCCTGATTTTCGATATTGCTAGAAAAGTGTTAAATTGGGTTACCATATTGCAATAGAAATTAACAAAAATATTTGCAATATTAATTTTAAAATATTTCAAATATTATTTTTAAAATATTTGTAATATAGAATTCCACATTTAAAAATAAGCAATTTCTATTTATGCTTTCCTTATTTTTCTAAACCTAATAATAAAAATATCTCGCACCCCAACTTTGAAAGCTGTTTTCTTCTTCCCTTCACCAAGAAAAAGAAAAAAAATATGTGTCAAATATTTTCCCAAAAATTACATCAACCATAAATTCCATCAAAATCAGCGATCAACACTTAGGCACTCTCCCTTACGATTCAAATTTCACAAAAACTTCGAAATCCAGTTGAAAATCAAGAAACTACAAATTTCTCAAGAACTTCTACCAGAAAAATTTCGCCAAAAGAGCCTGGTTAATTCGACGCCGGTAACTCCAACTGCCGTTCGACTAACAGAAAAATAAACTTAAAAAAAAAGTAAAGAAGATGAAATTAAAATCCTCCCTTTTATAAAGGAAGACTCTTTCTATCTCGCGTGGCGACGTCACCGAGCACAAGTTCGATAGGATATCGCGTTACATCTGCGAGAGACGTGGATTCATTTCGATCCGCAGCATCTGAAAGAGGGTTGCTCGCGGAAACGTAGAACGAGCGAGTCCCTATTAGAGGGTAATACGTATTATCGATTTTGGAACGAGGCGCAGGTTATCCCGGTTCAAATCATGACAAATGTACGCTCTGCCGTGTGTGGCCTCTCTCTCTCTCTCTCTCTCTGTGTACACCGGAGGCTCGACCACACCCTGGAAAAACTTTTTCCACCCCCCCTTTTTTTTTTATTTCTACCTCGTATCGACGGCACGTATTTCGCCCTATCGAAAGCTGCCCTCCGATTAGGATGCTCCAATCATCGACCCGCCCTGTGTGTATCCTTCTGTGATCGAGCACGAATTTTTCGTTTGATCGTCGATTTTATGACCAACCCCTTTTTACTCCGCTCATTTTTCAAACTCTCCTTGTCGCGTACCGGTGCGTGACGAAAATCGAATTCTAGTCGCCCTATCTCTCTTCCTATCGCGGATACGATTTTTAATACTTTGACCGGCGATCTTTTTAATTACCATGCATGACCTGGTGAGCGAGTATTGGGATGCTTGATGAGAAGCGAAGGTAGAGGCTGTAAGAGATTGTTACGATTCGAACGAGAATTGTTGGATCGGGGATTTTGTTGTGTGAAGAGTATAGTCGGTGGAAGAAATATAGAGAGATCGTTATAGAAAATTTAGCGGAATTGTGAAGTGCAAAGTGTTTTTTACTCATCTGAAAAACACTGTTGGTAGATATTTGTGTTTCAGGAAGTACCGAAGATCTTTTTTCATTTGTTCAGGCTGGTTTTCAATGCTTGCTGGAAATTTCACTTGTTTCCAACTAGCTTCTGTCGTTTATAGTACTCAAGCTTGTTTCTTTCTTTTATATGTCTGATACACTTCGCATTATTTTCGAATTCAGCAATGTTTCTAGTCCCTTCTATTCTAAAAATTTCGTTCTAAATCTTTCAAGGATTTAAGTATCTCCTTTCTTACTTTTCCATCGCCACTTTTCACTTCCTTCGATGTTCCCATTATTTTCGTCCATTTCGGAACTCTTTCTAATACAGAGAGGATGTTTAAACTTAAAAACCTAGCAACCAAACGTAGAAAAAAAAACATCGAACCGAAAATTCCAAAACATTTCGAAAAAGGGGAAGTGACAATTTGAAATTCTCCAAGAATTCCCCATTCGCTTCTTCCAAGCACCGACGACTCCACGGTCCGAAAGAGAGAAGAAAAGAGAAAA